ATTCCTGAGGCCTGGGCTGCTTCAGTTAGCTTCAATGCCTGCCCCCTTTTTCATACGGCCCTTTCATATCTTTGGTGCGCCTGTGTGTCCTCTTAAAAAGACACAAATCACTGGATTAGGCCCACCCTAAATCCAGTGTCCAAGGTCTCTAATTAATTCCATCTGCTAAACCCTGTTTCTAAATATAGTCACAATCTGAGATCTTAGATGGGAATGATTTTCAGGAGGACAAGTGAGCCCGCTATAATTATCTCCACAGTTATTACAATATCAAAATTGATAGCATCATTCTATACTTCTGGCTATGCATAAGTATTCCAGTCTTAGACATCTGTGGAAACAAGCTGGTCTTCATTCAACAGCCATTCTTCTCACCTTCTTCCCTAGTCTTAAGCACCCATCTCCAAAGTTAGGTGCTGAAAGATCCAGATGCTTGCTTTCTCAAGCTCCTCAGGGACAGGAGTGACCCAAGCTTCAAGTAGCTCAGTTCAATCACTGAGACAAAAGAAGACATGCAACAGAGACTTCATTTAATAAGAAGCTGAGCGTTTCACACTCGAAATGACCCTAGCCAATGTCCTGCGCCAACTTTCATGTTTTATTATTTTGTTGCTTTTTCTTAAAGAGTGTCCCAAAATTGGTTTAGGTTTCAGAAAACCTGCAATGCAGTCTTTCTCATGATGGAAAGAAAATGTCACACAAAGAGAGTGCTTTTCTGCCTCATTCTCCCTGCTTTGGATGCTGCCCTAAGGATATGATTATTATAGCAACAGTGCTCATCTTACTATCATGAGAGGAATGCTAAAAGAATCCTAGATACTCTGACCTTTGGCATCATTTCTCCCTAAACCAACCCTAGAAACACCTTCCTCCACACTTCCTGTAATGTAAGAAAAACACACAATAAAGATTTACTTGGGCTCTCCCCTGCAGCAAAAAGCATCCTAGCTACTGATATAGCACTTGACCTAGGGACAGTTATTAGTACCATGCCCTAAATTTTTGAACTTGAGACCCAAAAATTCATGTCATGTCCCTGTGTTGGCTGAAACTACAAAGTATACCATTTGGAAACTTTAAGCTGCCTCAATTCTTCTCATAGAAAGAAAGGAGAATGACCTTAACACCCAGAAATCAGCATAGCTAAAAGACAAGAGAAAGAAGCCCCATGCCCCGGACTTGTTTCCCAATGCTATGAGAGATCGTGACCTTTCTCCAGACTTCGCTGTCTAATTCTTCCTACCTTATCCTACCCTTAAACTCCCCTCTTTGTCTTAATCCAATCCAAGTGGGATTTTGTTCACTCTTAAATTAAACTAATTACTAAAGCTTCTTTTTCTTCTTTCAGATGTTACAAGTACTGGGACCAGCAGTTGGCATAATGGCTATGTCGGTGGACTCTCATGTAGTGGACTGTGGTTCATATCCCAGACTAGGTGACTTAAACTCACTCTGGGTACCTGTGTGTGCATACCCAAGATCCCAAGAGGAGAGTGGAGGAGAAGGGATTGCAGCATGGCCATCTCTCCTGGGGGCGATTTTCAGTCTCTCTGTCTTTCTGGCGAGAGTGCACACGCCCTATAGCAAAAACCTCTCAGAAAGAAAGAAAGAAAGAAAAAGAGAGAGAGAGAGAGAGGGAAGGAAGGAAGGAAGGAAGGAAGGAAGGAAGGAAGGAAGGAAGGAAGGAAGGAAGGAAGTTACACGTACTTACGTGTCATCCCCCCCCCCCTTATTTCTCTTTACCTTGTTCCATAGAGCTGGAATCCTGTCCCACAGCTGCACGTGGCCTTAGTGATGGAGAACAGTTGTTGCAGTCAGACACAACACTCCTGGTTGCTTTCTGGTTCTTCTGGCAGGTAACAACACAAAGCCTTACTTATATCTTCTCAAGGAGAAGGATCATGGTCACATTGCTGTCATGTGGTTCTGAGGATGACACGAGCTAGTAGGCACATAATATTTAATAGGATACTTGACACACAGTTAGCATTATGAAATATACTCATTACTAGACAGGCAAAAAGGATAATTTCTGAAGCCCAAGGGAGAATCCTTTTGCTAATCCTCATCTCTTTCTTCTACTCCAATCCTACATCTCTTATTTCTGAACCCTTCCTTTAACATTTTTCAGTTTCATCTTAAACTAAACTGATTGTCACTCTTTTTTCCTTCCATTACTTCTCTCCTACCCACCCTGCAATTCACATTTACAATTTCTTTCTTTCTTTTCTTTTCTTTTTTTTAATTTAGGTTTTTGTTATAGGGCCCATGTGCTTTCTGGAGAGACAGAGAGAGGGAGAGTGAGAAATCCCCATGGGGGATGGTCATACCACAATCTTTTCTCCTCCACTCTCCTCCTGGGATTTTGGGCATACACATATACATGCCCAGTGTGATTTTTCAAGACACCAGGTCTGGGACTTGAACCTCAGTTGGCCATGTGGGAGTTGGTCACCCAGACTCAGAGATCATTCTAGTGGTGGTTGTGTTATTTACCCTGTAACAGGTATGAGGAGGAGGAGGAGGAAGAGGAAGAGGAAGAGGAGGAAGAGGAAGAGGATGAAAAGGAAGAGGAATAAGAAGAAGAGAAAGAAGAAAAAGAGGAAGAAGAGGAAGAAGAAGAGAAGGAAGAAGAAGGAGGAGGAAGAAGAATTATAATTCCAATTCTCTTATTTATTACTTTAGCTATTTAATATTTGTTAAAATGAAATTGAGACTATGTAATATTCAACCTTTTGCATTAGGCACAAGTAGTGGCTGAAAAAAAGAACAAATATCTTTGTCATCATAAAGCACTTCTTTTCTTTCTAAGGAGATATGACATGTGACCCAACTATTATAGTATTTATCACATTCTCCCAGATATTAGAAGAAAAAAAATCCAATATTTAGAGAATACTGAAGAATCATAGATCACTCAAGGTCTAAATAAAGTTTCTTTTAGTAAGTATTACCCTTGGACCCAGGGAAGAAAGATAATCACTTAGGTCCCTACACTAATTTTTTGTTTTGTTGTCAAAGGATATGTGTGCTCACCAGACAAAAACAGAGAGACTGACAGAGAGTTTGGAGAGGGTAAAGGACTCTGCAATCCCTTCTCCTCCATTTATCCATCCTATTGGGATTTTGGTCATGCATGCAAATGCATCTGGTGTATTTTTTCAAGCCACCATGACCAAGAATCAACCCATGGTCAACCATGTGGGATCCAGCTTCTTTAACACCAGGTCACAGACCGGCCATGGACTCCATACTTTAAAGAGTGCTGCAGATTACAAACATACAGAACCAACTTTATAAAGAATATGTGCATACCTTGTCCCCTGGGATCCAACAGTGGAGCTGACTCACACTTCAGGACTGTGAAATGTTCCCATGGATGCCGGTACACAGTAAGTCAAGCAATGTCACATGCTTAAGCAGATGACCTTCAGGCAAGCTTGCTGGACAATGCCACAACTCAACAAAGCAAGATAGACAGTTATCTTTTTTTCTTACTTCCAAGTTCTAGATGACTTTTCTTAATATTTGAGGACTCAAGTAGAGTCGAAAATAAGGGAAAAATGAATTTCACAGATCCTGCCAAGAAAGAATTTTCAAGACTAATGCCTATCTCCTTGTTAGAACTAAATTAATAATGCAAAGTCCTTGGGAAAGTACCTTCCAATATTCCCTATTATCTTATATTATCCTGATATAATTTGTTTGTAGTCTTTTAAGATGATATACATTTTACAAAATATATTTATATTCCTGTATTAAAAGGTATCTGATAGCTATTGTATATGTATAAAATCACATGATACTCCCCTTCAAGATCTTTATCCTATTATTAAAACTTGAAGGTGTTGAAGTTTTAACACATGAAATAATAAAAGGAGAAAATACATATTGGATTGTTGAGAAAGTCAGGACACATTTTGCATAGAAAAATATGTCCTGACTTTCCTGACAACCTAAAAATAACTGCTAACTGTACTTAATTAAGTGTCAAAATATATAATTACTTTCTTACTATATCTTAAGCATACAATTGCTTGGAGAAGTTTCCACGTACTTGGGGAATTTAAGTGAAACATGATTATAAAGCTAACAAGATGCTAGATTTTGCAGAGGACCAGAAAGGAAAATTCTGATTTTTCTTCTCTTGAGCGGAATGCAAAAGGACAAAATTAGAGCTTGACGAATCTACTCACATAATGTGCCCTCAAAATAGAATAAGCAACAAGATGAACCTCCTTAGAAATAAAATACAAACAGAAGACTTTTGGCAGTGGATGAGAAAATATGATCATGATTTTTTTGTTAAATAACACAATATGATGATTTTGAAGGAGCTGTTAAATATACTAGCAATTTCTACTTTAGAGGCTACACAGAAGAAAAAATGTATGGCAATTTACATACTTAAACTTTCACATTGGAATCTGTCCAGTACTATGTGGGGTCTTCAAAACCTTCATGGAAAATGTGAATCGGGAAAAAGTGATGAATGGATTTAAAAAGATCTTTGCACCAAAATAAACTCATCCTTTAATTCTACTTTTTCCAAAAACTTTTTTAAAATTTGTATTATAGCCAGAGGACATGTGTGCTCACCAGAGAAGAGAGAGAGAAAAAACAGCACCCCAATGAGACATGGCCACACTGCAGTCATTTTCATGTCAGTTTCTGCAGGAGTGGGAGCATGCACAAACATATGCCTTGCATTTTTACAAGCACTGGGGACAGGATTCAAACCAGGGTCAACCATCCAGGATCTTGCTCCCCTATACTTGGTGCTCAATTGCTGCACTAGGGGACCAACCTTTTCCACAGACTTTTGGAAGTCCCCTTATACATTTGATGTGACAAACATAAGAATCTTGCTTCTCAAATGCCACTTTTGACCCATTAATTCAATGAACTTATCTAACTGTAGTTCCCGGAGTACCTGGTTCATAACCATATTGTATTAGCTTGTTGGAAAAGTCATGATGCATTTTTTTGTTTTCCAAAGCAGAAATGTGACCTGACTTTCCTGATGACTCAATATTATAACTTGTCTTAGTCTCCTGCAATAGAGTGTTAGTGCTATGATCTGGATCTGTCCCCGCAAAATTCATGTATTGAAATCTGGTGAGTCATTGTAATGAGACAGACCCATGGGCACAGACACACACGCTTTTGCCTCTTGACATGTGAGACCCTCTTCCATGTTATCCATCAGCAAAGAGATCCTTACCAGTTGTGGCCTCTGGACCATGGGCCTCTAAACCATGAACCCAATAAACCTCTTTTCTTATAAATTGCTCAATTTCAGTATTCAGTTATTAAACAACACCAAAACACTTGGCTCTTCATAGAAACTATGTTGTTCTCATCACATCATTAGGAAATGAAATAATTCTAGTTAGTACATAAATAAAAACTCAGAGACCATTTTGCCAGGAAATGAGATTAAGTTTGCTAATACTATATTTATATAATGACATTTCTAAAGGTGACTTACCTCTCTTTATGCCACTGAGCTGTCAGAAAAGTTGTGACATATTTTTCTATGTAAAAACACATCATGACTTTACCAATTACCCAATATATAATAAAAGTTCCCTCAAAAGAAGGGAGTTTTATAGTCTAAAACATCAAATCATTTACAAAAATATATCTGTATCATTTTATACACTTATGTCTATATCTACATTATACATTCATATCCTATAAATATGTTCTAATACACATAAATATATCATATATATCAATATATTACATAAACAGATAAAAGAGGAACAGACTTTTTAAAATTTACATAGTTAACTACCGTGGAATAATGAATTTGACTTCGTTCCAAAGATAGGTCTGGCTATATCCCTGGTTCCCAGGAGGTAACCTCTCTATCTTTGGCACTTCTATGTAAAAAGAGTGTCTTTGTTATTCATAATGGATCTTCAACCACACCCAATAATTTATGTGAATGAGGTATTCACTGAGGACCCCCTGGAAGTCCTGATGTAGCTGGGGGAGGAAGGCTGGTGATGGACACAGTGATTCAATCAACCATGCTAATAAGCCCATAAAAACTCCAGACCCTGAAGGCCAACCAAGCATTCCTCACGGTCAGCACTCTATTAGCTCACATAGTAACTGAGAGGAGATAATGCCATCTAGGATTCCAGAGAGAAGAGAGCCTGGAGCTTGGCCTACCAGAATTCGCTCTGTGCATCTCCTTGTTTGGCCAGTTTAAATTTGCCTTTTCAATATCCTAAAACTAGGGTCAAGTGGTAGTGTGGCAGTAAGGCAACTAGACCACATGGAAAGGTCCTGGGTTTGCCTCCTAGGACCTCTCTGAGCACACGGAGCATGTGAGGATAGCCCATGAACTAGGGTGGCTGAACTAGGAGTGGATCATGGCATGATCCTTATTGTTGAATCTCTCTCTCTCTTTGCCTCTTTCTCTCTCAAAAGACATAAATAAGTAAACTTTTAGAAAATATGTATTATAAAATTGGAATCACAAGCACCTGCCTGAGTTCTGACAGTCTTAATAGTAGATTATCCAACTTGAAAGTGATTTGGGAAATCCCCAAAATTGCAATTGCTGTCTGAAGTGAGGGCAACCTTGTAAGGGCTGCTCCTTCTGGTTTTGTAGCTTAACGAACTCCTTTCAGATACTCAGGAAAAATAGGATATATGTTTAGTTTCTCCTCTTCACTTCTGCGGAGAGGAAAACTATCATAATAAGAGATCTAAAGGGGTTCAAAAGTAAATAAGAAAAGCAGGTAGATGAAGAAGGGGAGCCTGAAATTAGTATCTTCATATTATCTAAGATTCTAATAGTTCTGTGTAGAAGTGTGAATGTGCCTACTTGAAATGGGAAAATATCCTTTCCATAACAAAGCAGATTGTTTTTATGTCATTCTCTCTGCCTTACATATTTTGACTAACATCTTTAATAACCAAAGACATAGCTATTAAAAATGAAAATTCTTTTCTACTGTAAGTCCTTCTTCTGAAGAGAAGAACCATATTCTAATCACTGTTTTCTATCATACTTGGTTTCCTGCATTTTATCTCTATTGATGACTTTGATAGACATCAAACAATCACTGAGGCACATGTGAATATAATATTCTTATGTGCTTGACGAATACCCACATAGCATTTGCCAATCAGAGCTCCAGATATTCAAGTGGTGAGGGGGTCAAATTTTAAGGAGTACAGAATTTAAGGAAAGCTCAGGAATTTGGAGTCTTGACTAATCAGGCAAGAATGGCAGGAATATTGACAATCAGGCAGAACTCTACAACCGTTAGGATAATTCTGTATCAGAATTAGGTGAGGAAAGCATATATGCTTATTACTATTGTGTAAGGAAGCTGTTCTTTTGAGCAATTTTTTTAAATTTATTTTTTGTTTAGAATTTAGGGAGCTTTAGCACGTATCCCGCAGAAGGGATAAATAGTGTACCGTGTGATATTTCATGTCTACACGGACATGACTACAGGGATTTATGGAGGGTGCAGTAAACTGCATTAAACAAAATCTAGGATTAAAGAAGAAAGCTAAATGCTATGTTTGATTCAAGATGACTGGGGCCAGCCAGCTGGTTATGTTGGCTGGATCCCACATGGCTGACTGCTCATTTCAAGTCCTGGAACTAGTGGCTTGAAAAATACACTGGGCAAATGTGTGCACATGCCCAAATTCCAAGATGAGAGTGGAGGAGAAGGGATTAAGATGAGGTTATCTCCCCTAGGGAAGGGGGGACGCCTTCTCACTCTCTTTCTCTCTCTCTCTCCCCGTGTCTCTTGCATACTCTACAGCAAACTAAAAATAAATAAAAATAAATAAATAAAACCAAAGCTAAGCTCTAAGGAAGTAGAACAAATTTTTAAAAGTGATTTTTTTAATTAACTACATATATCATTCCAATTTTAGTATATGTGCTGCCAAAGTGAGCACGATTAGCTACATATATCAAAGCCCCAGAAATATCCATTTTAAGACACCCACATAAAAACTACAGATCTACAGTTTTGACCACATTTACACTCACCTGAGCTAGATAAATTGGCTGTTTTATGTAAGTGTATCTTGAATTCTTCATTTCATTTTACAAATCAATACATTCTGCTCTGAGGTGGAAGACGGTGTAACACAAAACAAAATTTTGTTATTTAATCAGAAAAAAAGCTTCAATTCTCTTTACAAAGTTTCAGCACACAAGAGAAACACACTTGAGGGGCTCCTTATAACCTAAGAGAGTTTAAAGAAGACAGTACACGTTTTAGGAGATTGAATTCTGCTAAGCATATGGTAAAAACACATTGTTTTCAGCACACCATTCCCTCTACACAGAATCTAGTTCTTGACAGATTTTCTTTCTGTCCAGTTAACTCAGCTTACTTTGCCTCCAAGTAACAGTCTTTTTTCCAGAGAAGGCTTATCTCAACCCAATCAAATGTCCTTTATTATATATTCTCATAAAACTTTGTCTCTTTCTTTTATGTCACATGTTTCTGTTTTTTACCTGTATACTCATTTATGTAATTAACTAATACCATGCTCCTTCACAGGGATGCAGGTACTGTGTTTATCTTTATTCACCATTTTAGACCTTCCACTTAAAATATAGCTTTTTTACATGCTAAGAGCTCAAAAACATTTCCTGAATACCTGAATGGATAAATGTCAATTACAAACAAGCCACTGCTATACTTAAAACCCCAGTGAAAATAAATAAGACACAAGGCATTCATCCCACAGAGATTGAATTAATGCATGGAAAAAAAATTAGAGGACAATGAGAGACAAATACAAAATAATACTAAAATTTCCTTTTTCAGATATGCTTTGTAAGGATTAATTTTATTTATTCTTGTTATTTTAATCTGCTATAGAGCATGTGCACTCATGAGAGAGAGAGAGAGAGAGAGAGAGAGAGAA